GGCCCGCTGGCGCAGATGAGAGAAAAGATGTCCCACAGTTGTAGAGTAGAATTGCGTTCATTCAGCGTGCGTATCCTGTGTAGAAGCTCGTCCAGTATTTTGAGAGCATCGGCAGCCACGACTCCCTTCAGAATCAAGACGTTCTGGGGCGACATGGTGGCGCGAATGTCTGCTTTCGCGGTGGCCATCTTGTTATGTGAAAAGAAGGAAAGCAAGTCGTCGTCGGAACACAGATATTCGCTTGACGAGCCCTGTGGATTCGTTGATCTCTCTTCACTCTGATTGCGTGGAACGTGAGATCCGCGTAAGCTGCTCTCACACGGATGAGCTGGTCTACAATCTTGGTTGTGGGACCTGAGCCATCAGCCATCAGCATAATATAGCCACAGTTCTGACACCATCATAGAACCCATAGACGCTGATTACGGTGATCTGGCCTGGTCGTTTCCGTCTGAGGTTCGCCGAGCCAGCTGGAAGGTCGTCTGATCGCTACGGTGTGGAACCGCAAAGGCGCCAACAGCGCATGTAGATGCGGACTGCTTTCCTGCCGTCCGTACAAGATCACGGGCCTTATTCTTGGTATCGCCGGTACTCGTAGGCCAGGTCCGGTCTTTCAGAAGACGGTCGATATTACGCTTGCGTATGACCCCGTAATGGCTGGCTTTGATCGAGAATACAGACCGCGCTGATAAAAGTATGGTGATTTACACTAGCCCCAAGCACCCAACACTCGGGCGACCGTGATCCGCATAGGACCTCGATGTAAGCAACATCAGTAAGCCTGTTGACAATCCCATACGAGATGGACAGGACAAGTCCCTAGTGCACCAACAGGTCACACTCTACGTCAACACTCCCAAGCCATTAACACGGCATTATCTGCGCTATGTCAGTCAGGGTTTGCATTCGCAACTGGCGCGTCTCTGTTCGGATAGCTCTCGTTTTACTGGCCTTCCTTCTTTGCCTTTGTTGCGTACTAGCAGGCGTGCGACCAAGCTGGCTGAGTGAAATCCACCTTGTGCGCGTAAGTTCGCTTCGTGGACGCAGCTGTGTAGCGCAATCTTGTTGATCGGGCACCAGGTAACTGCGTTCCACGACGCGCTTGAGAATCTTCTGCGCACAATCCCAGTTGTTGGCGACGTGCTAGATACAGCACTAGACAAAGTACTCGAGAAGACTGATGTGCCCTATTCCATCTCCATCTACGCAGCGAGCTACTGCAGCCTGAGCTATGGAGCAAGCGGAGCAGCCACGAGTGAGTGCTTTCTACACAAGTCGACGTTTTTCGATGTAGCCGCTGGCTCGCGTGTATACATCGCCATTGCGTATGCGCTGGGAGTTACTTCATCTGCGGTCAGTGTGGCTTGTCTATCGCAGGTGATATGGAATGACAGCCCCCGCTGCAGACGCTGGGCTTTTATATCCACCTTGGTCGCAACAGGTGCCGTTGGCATTGCTTCCTTGTTCACCAGCATGCTTGGGTGTGCAGTGTACATGGTCTTTTCCGGCAACCTTCCTGAATCACTCCTTTCCGTGACGATCGGTCGCAACTTCCTTGCCTTCACGTGGTCAGCCTTTGCATGCTTGGCACTGGTGCTTTTGACGATACTGCCGTCGATGCGATCTCGTGTGGCGTAATGCGGCGATCTGCGCTGCTGTTCTTGCCGTCCGGGTGGCGTTGCACAGTTTTTGCGGGTCTCCCCATCATCAACCGAGTCCTGATACGATTTGTGTTACACCACAGTCTTGGAACCCGTGAGCCACGTAGGGCTCTCGATAGCAGATGTGGTTCGACAAGACGAAGGCTGTTCGGGACTTGAAGGTATGCGATGTAGGCTACTTATTGGACGGACGATGTGGCAGGGATATTCTGTACTTCTTTCGGGTAAGAAATAGATTAGACTCAACACGCTCGCTTCCATGCTGAAGATGAAGCCTGATAAAGAGCGTTTTGTTTCCAGCACGGCGTTGTATTCCACCAAGCTCTTGAGATCCAACGAGTGGCCTTGCATATTGTATACTACGTTTCAGGCCATGAGTCTCGCGCAGACGTTGGACATGATCTACAAGCATACATGATCTTCTTGGCATTTCTATCCTTTGTATCTGCAGATGTTTGGCTAGTGACGAAGCGTATGCAATAGCAATGTCCTGATTGCCCTGCCGTCTTGTGCAACAGCCAGATACAGGTCACCTCGCATTACATTGACCTGCGATATACATAGTAAGCGACCCTTGATCGGCCCACTGTGCTACCCTCCCGCGACTTTGGAGCTATGTGTAGCGCACCACATTAGGCCGGCAACGTTCTATATGACATCCTCATGGGCCGTTTCTGGAAGAAGTTCTTGATACTCACTAGGGCTGCGCTAGCACTGGAACAAAACTGCTGTGCCGCGGCCGTCTTGTGGCACAAAGCTGCACAGTCCTCTATTGTCGGCTATATTGAACCAACCTATATCAGTATTCATTGCTTTGGATGGATAGACACTGTATAATCTGCGCATGAGCGCGTGCGCCACCCCTCGTAAGCAGCTCGAATATTGACTGCCGCATTGACTGGCAACATGAGGACACAAGCACATGAGCATGATTATGTATGTTTCTTATTTCTTGAGCCATAGGATATTGTGATGTACCGATCCTGCTAGCTGTGACTTCATATCAATGACGGGACAGTTGTCGTTCGCGGGCCTCGCACCCAGCATAATGTACCATACCGTGATATGTATAACAAAAGTATGCATCTACACGTCAAGACGTATAGCGTAATATTGACTTATGCATGGCAGTAATACGGTTGGCTGGCTGTCGAGAACCCGAACGTCGACGCATTGCCCATGCTCGACATGGACCATCTATGCGCGTGATACAGCTTCGCTGATGTTGCAGTCTTAGTTGGATATACTGTAAAGCAGGCACTACGCATCCAAGTGCACACGACTTACGGATTGCGACTAGTTAGGAAGGAGTTCTATACTTATGGATTGCACTTGGTACGTGTCATAGTGATGACAGTACGACCTGCCAATCCTCATTCCCACGAGCCGAAGACACATGTCCCCACCTCTTCTAGTTACCCACAGCACTTCTTCAACCTATACACGCAGATGCTTACTATCCCGCACTCCATCATGGCTTGCAACCATGGACATGTCGTCTCTCGCGTACCAACGTTCCTTGCGTTGCCACCAGAGATCCGCAACAAAATCTACAGCTATCTATGCCATAGCGCTGTGCCGATACGTCTGTGTTACTATCAAGACCCAGAGAGTAACACACCGAAGCCAGTCGTTCCTTTCGCATTAGGTACTACAAAACCTGTGACCTTATTCTTGACGTGTAGACAACTCAACGCGGAAGCATCCTCCGTGTTCTATTCGGGCAACGTCTTTCTCCTCAAGAGAAGAACCAGGCTTGCTTCTTTTTTGGAACCCTGTTTCATTAGCGCACTGCTAACATTCTTCGACGTCGTGGGATCGCGAGCCACACTTGTGCGCAACGTCGTCTTCGACACGTTTCATTTGTGCAATAGTGTGTTTCTCCGCACGTACATCGAAAAGACGACGAAACCTTTTGGCCCGGTCACTGACATCGTGGAGGTCACAGTTCTGTTACGCCGGGCCTGGGATCGCGGTCTCAACTTCAAGATCAACCTTTTTGAAGTGGCCGATGTGGAAGAAGACCGAGCTGCGCACTGGATGCAAAACCCTGATCTTGTGCGCACCACTACAGTTATGGCTATCATGAATTCTCTGCTAGACGGACAGCTAGATCTTAAGCAGTACCGCGACTTGGTACGTGCTATCGCGATCAAGTGTGATGGTACTGGAGGTTTGATCGGCTGGGCGAGCAGTCCTCATGGTACTCATCCTACCAGTCCGCCACGCTCCTATCCCCATACAATGACCGAGTTCAGGGCAAAAGACGGCGGAACGCAGCTAGAACTCGTACCGTACGGTCTACTCTAGCTACTCTTGTTTATCAAAATGTGTGGGGTGTGAGAGTTATCTCATTAATCAAGCTGGGCCTGAGACTAAGTAATGACGCTAATTAGTCATGTAGACAAGGTTACATGGCCACTGCCTTCATCGCCCATCTTGACATTGTTGCATGAAAGAGGTCGCAAGACTCGACTCGAGTAGAACGACGACTGTACTTTTCTTCGCGAAGAGTTAAGCTGGACTTTGCAGCATATTGCGGCTACCAATCGTCGTGTTCGAAAGGCTGGAGCACGTTTCAGTTCGTTCTCGCTCGTCACCCTGCCCACCAAGCTTATGAACCAGGTCTTCGGCTACCCTGTCAATTCTTCGAGCCTGTCAAGATTACATTCCAACGATAAAAGTTACACCTGACAACATACACTTCTCCATTCAACCGGGATAGGAAATGCAAAAGAATGTGTTCCTCTCGAGTTGTGTTGCCCACGCCAGCAAGGCAACAGCTTTTTACGTCAAAAACACCTGTACTACCACTCTGACAGGAGTCCACGATTCAGCGTCGTTTTTCCTTGAGAACTTTACATCAAATCGTTGGGATAGACATCGCAGGCGTACTGCGTTCGTAAAGTCTGGATTGATCCTGCGCAATGGGATTCGACGTGGTTGTACGACTTGGAAGAAATTATCCGGCATTCCGTGCTCAAAAGGATGCCAATGAACAGAAAGCTAGAACGAGCAGCTAAATCGTGGTAACTGACGAGATAGGCGAAGGAGAACCTTACTCCAGTGAGACGCGAGTTAAAGATCACACTTGCCTTCATGAATGAAGCAGTGACGCGTGCTGTTTAAATCAATCACTGAATAATAACGAGGACCTCTGGTGGGATGGAATTGAAACTACAAGACGGTCAGCAGACTGGAATAACTCGACCGTCTAGTAGTTGATACATTTAGTTACTCCTTTTACATGGAGTTGCCACGCTTGGTGTGAGTCCGTGCAGGAAGCCATCCTATATTTCGCCAGATATAACAAACTTGCTATGAGTCCATCGTGCCCTCCTGCCGGAACCAGCCACCTCGGTGCTCTGCTACAGGATGCATGCCTAGTTGGATTCGTATCCTCTATCTGGTTATTGCACGGGCACAGAAGCTTGACGTTGAACGGCGTCGCGTAACAGAGCCATGTTCCTAACCAAGCGTTTTGGGCGTCACATGGTTGTGTCATCTTCACATGTAGAACTCTCCTGTAGGCCACACGGATTACCTGCATTCAATTATCTGCCTCTTAGCACCATGATTAGCTTCAAAATTCCTTGATCTGCAAGCTCGCCACGACGGCACTTCTCACAACCGTTGATGATCTTACGAAGGTTTCAATACGGGTTGTACGCTGAACTCATCTCCTTCCCTCGCATGCCGATCAATCGAAAGGTGGCTGCATCTCTTGTGATTAGCACGAAGCTCCTCAACTGAGCAAGTATGTAGCGTCTCGCCGTTGTACTACAGTCCGTACTCTGCGTGCAGCGCCATCGAACTCCGATCGCTATATATCTACGGTCAAGGAATTACCCGCCTAGATGAGAATCAAACGGCGGCCACCCTAGGATCGTCGCTTCCAAGTCGGTTTGAGTTGACGAATACCTCTTCTAATTTATATCTCTCGATAGCGCTTTGCAGCTGTCCAGCATCGGAGGCGTATTTTGTTCCCCCAACGCACTGGTAACGGAATGTCGAGAATGGATCCAATGCCATCTGACTCGCGAAGAAATTTGTAGTCGCAGCTGCACTTGTTTCGGCCTGAGAAATCATGCCAGGCTTTTTACCTTTGTAGACGACCTGGCGAGGTGTCTCAGTTGGTCGCTGAATGAATGGCTGAAGTACTGCTCCTGTTTTCGGGTTCTGGCCTAAACGCATAACTAGCTGGCTGCGTGAATCTCTACGGCCACCGGGCAGAGAAACTGTCTTCTCGACGTTTGGTTGCGACACGTTTCTGAACGGGTTCTGCTCGAAAATATCTCTATAAGCTTGCATGGGAGGCAACGTTTCATCCACGCTACTACTCCTTCGGCTGTAGATGCTGGAACTTCTTGGTATCGCTGTACTATCAGGCGGTCCTATCCTCTCTGCGGTGGCTATATCGCGAGTATTGCTCATGGCGCCCGCTCCGCTACGTGTTTTATTGTCGGAGATCGCAGCCGCTGGTTTCCAGATGGGCAACAGCGGAACATTCCCCGTTTTTTGGACGTCAGGGTTGTCAAGCCGCAGTTGCTTTGTAATTTCGGAAATGTCGTTGTCGTGCGTGTAAAGTGGCGAAGGTCGCTTCGCCGGAACGATTGACGAGCAGCTTGACATTACAGATGATCGCTCTGCCTCGATCGGTGAAGCATGCTGTGAACGGAGAAGGCTGTGTAAGCCTGCGACTGGCCTCTCGACAGGTAGACAGGGCCAGCAAACAGGCATCTCTTTCGTTGTCGGCTGATTCAGCGGCTGCGAGAACAACGATACTGAGGTAGAGCCGTCAGAGGAACAAGGATCAATAGGGCTGCTGTCACAGAAGGGTAGTTCTTCTGCAAGTCTGCATGCAGACTGTACGGTCGGCTCTGGCACACTCGAAGGGGTTACATGTACCCTCTCGTAAGCCGCCTCTCCGAGCAGAAAAACACGAACGATATGTTGGGCCATAAACGACCGGGATAGACGGCATCTCTGAGTCAGACTCTTGTTTATCTGATGGCTGTATAAATACTGCGTAGCCGCGGAATCGTTGAAAAGCGCAGTGCCATGTCTCTTTGCGATGTCGAAGTGTTCGGGTTCAGGCATGTGAGACAAGGCCGGTGCTTTTGTCGCTATACCCTCCGTACTCCCGATCGAACTACAAGACGTACTATCCGTATGCAGAGAACTGAGCTCTTGCTTCACGAGGCTACTGAGCTGTGCTTGGGTGACGGAGCCTTTGGGAAGTGCATTGCGGAGCGTGTGGAGAAAGACGTGTTGATAACAACGCTCAACGATTGCTTTCTTCTGCCTGCGAAAGGCCGTGGGAAGACGACTAGAGCAGTACAATTCGTCAAACTCGCGTTCGAGGATATCTACGGTCCTTTTTCGTAACGTGTCCTTCTCTTTTCTGGACATATTGCCTAAGAGAGGCGTCATGGACTCCCGCACCCTTGACTGTAGCAACCGTACGTCTTGTGCAAAGGTACTCAGCGTTAAGATGGGACCTTGACGGCGGATTGCTGTCTCTACCTTTTCTCGAAGTGTAGGATCTTCGAGTTGGGGAAAGATCCGTCTTTGCTGGAATTGGCGCTCGATAAAGTCCTGGTCGTGCTCAGAGAAGTGCGGAGCTCGAGACTGCAGTGAGTCTATGGACTTGATATTTATACATGGCACCACCCTGTCGTCCCACTGCAAAGTAATTTCTTCCCACTGGTGGACGATGGCCCAGATGTAATTTTGGACTTCCTGCTCGAAGTTGGCTGTGCGAACGACAAGAACTAGCGAAACGGGTGTACTTACTTCGTCACAGAAACACTTGCGCACGTCAGTCAGAAAATTGAACGATTTCGTTATCCACATACTGGGAAGCCGGCTCAGCGCGTGGAAAGCTTTTACAACACCTGAAGTCTCGCTGACGAAATGTGCAGACTGCCAGACATGGTCCTGGGATAGGTTGTCCGACGAGCGTAATGCCCCCAGTTCCGTCGTAAGGGCGCCGAAAAAGCTGCTTAAGGCTTCGTGAGAGCTTTCTACAGCCCACTCTCTACTGTCGGAGCCGTCTGTGTGAAAATGCGTTAGTGGTGATGGATCGATGCAAGCGAACCATGTCCCTCGATACTGATTTCTTCATGCTAGCACACCACACACATGACAAAACGGTCTTACCTTTGCGGAAAAAGTCGACGACCCACCGTCGTTTGCCATTACTGATCCTTTGCTCCCAGCGTGAAGCCTTAGACGACCTGACTACTTGCAACAGGGCCATGCTTTCTATAATGCGGATGTCTGCATCTTCCCTGAATTGAAGCTCAGGAAAATTGTGTCCATCTAGTCTCTGACTCTTTCCGATATGTCTGTTCTTCCAATGCCGACGGGAGATCTCAGCTTTGAGGTGGTTTTCCTTCTGCCATGGTTTGCATGTCCCAGGCCTAAACCGTCTCTTTCGCTCTTTGAGCTCTTTTGCATGAATAATCAGATCGTCTTCAGAGGCTCTTGGTAACTGAGACAAGGCTACAATGCCGGACCCGATATAACGTTCGTGGTCGGTACCGAATCGAGTAGACGGCATGCTTTACCACACAAATTCTTCCTTTGCCCTTGGAATGATGGCGCTCTTAGAGAAAACAGGATCGCAGACATAATGCTTCGTCGAGAATGCACCCTTATGCTGACATGTCAGCATCATCAGCTGTTTCCGCTTTGACGCACCCGCTACCCATGACGACTAGGCGTGCACATGTCTGACACTGATTTATGACTGTGTTCCGTCTGTCGCAAGCCTGTATTCAACCAGAGTGTCAACAAGACAATGCTTCCGAAATCGTTTCGCCTTCCTGGCGAGATCGAGAAACATAAATCCAGTACAACTGCCCACATCGGCGATCTCACTAAGGTAATTTACCAAAGGAATGGAAGTGTCACTTATGCCATCGTGCCGCAGACCTACCAACGTGCCAAATACGTCCTCGTGGACAGTTTTGCAGTCAACAACATCCCAAAGAGTATGAGTCCCAAGAAGATTCGCGAAAATGTCGCAGAGAGACTTGCCCAACTCGGACCCGTCAGAAACCTCTTCACCTTGGATATTTGGAATAACGCCGCCTTCATTCCTTATCCCAGGGAATTAGCCAGTCTGCAAGATATCTTGGGTATACGCGACAGCTGGTCGTTCAAAGAAAGACATGTCCAGATCTTGGTAGATGACGTGAGCGCACCCCCGCACTCCGCACCCGTTGCGCTAACGGTTGCAGATACTCGCCGGCATATCCAGTCTACACAAGGTTAACCTGCAGAAGAGTTTGTTTTCGGTGAAGGACATACTGCTTGTACGTCGACAAAACTTGTTGTATTTCCAGATTGGTAAGGCTGTGAGAACTATGCGCAGGGCACTGCTGACGATCTCAGCCGGCCTCGAAGACTGCACATGCTTCGAGGGGATTGAGCCCACGGACGGGCAGGAACTCGAGTCGTTCCGAAACATACTGCAGCTTGTTGATGGGCGAAACAAGGCAGATAGATCTGATCTGATCTCTGCCCTGCTATCTACACTATCAAATTCGCAAGTACTCGGCAGCAAAGAACTGGCGGCGGCATATGAGGAAGTGAGGGCGAAAGACGACAAACTGAGGGCGGAGTATAAGAAATGGAGGGAGGATCATGAGAAACGGAGGGCGGAACATGAGAAACGGAGGGCGGAACATGAGAGACTGCCGCCGTACCACAAGGATATCGTTCGCATGGAACTGGATGTATATATCGATGCTGTGCGTGTACTAGGTACTACCTTTGGTGGGACCATTAGTCAGAACCAAACACCTGAGATGAGTTGAAGGTGGACATCTACAGTCAATATGTCTGATCCTGTCTCGCGCAAGGGCTTCTCCGGAAGCTGCGCAACGCTGTATAGTTATCAACAGCGTGCAGAGAAGTCGTTATTCTTGCAGTAAAGCCATTAACGTGCATCCCTTCGTGACGGAACAACCGGTGTGGCGGAACACTATTCCTTACGCAAGTAGATAAGAGGCAGGAAAACTTATAGAAATATATTCACAAGCTCTTATTGTTTGTACTTGCATATATCCTACCTATAAATAATACTTAGATAGAAAAATACGCGATGGTGTGGCTGTATATCGTCGATACGCTGGCGGCGACATTTCGTGCCTCAATTGGCACCTCAGCCTACGCAACTATTTTGCCCTGAATTCCTTCGTCGGGGATGTTGAACGATTCTCTGGGTATCGTAGTTTCATATCCTTATCTCGACATGCTAGATGATGCTCTGTGGTGGTGATCAGAAAGTTTCTCTGTCGCTGGAGCGATTGGCAATATCCGCGATGAGAGTTTAGCGCAACAGGCCCAGCTTTGTCATCTGAAATATATTCACGTGACCTTTGTGTCTTGGTCAATCATGTGACATATTCTTCTAGCACGTTCTATCACTCTTTGGTCTTTGGTCTTTGTTTTATTATTAGCACAATGTGAGGGATGTCCACAACTGCGACACCCACTCAGTGGAGGACGCTGTGATGCAGTGATGTATACTACAGCAACCATGGACCCCGCCAGCATGGAGAGCACCTGAGGCCCGGATGTGGTGATAGGTGGTGGAATACATACAGAGTATTCTGCACGGTGTGGTTAGAGACGCCTTAGGCTCAAGGTCGTTTGAGATGTTTGCTGCTGCTTTGCTTACTTTAATATCTGCTGATCGTTGTAACTTACTTAAACTTCTGAGTTCTCAGTATCATTGCGATTTTTACCCAGTTTTTCCGTTATAGCAGTCGTTCCGTCACGTACGGATGGACATTGATTAGTCGTGCTTAAGGACATTTAACTAACTTCTCGATGCATGGTTGTGCTAGTTAGTTAGTATAAGTAAATCTGACTGCAGTGTGATAAACCTGAAATGCCAACACAGCACTCTTGATCACGCTTACAGCCAGTAATCAAGATGAAGGATCCAACCTGAGACGCTGCGCCGCAATACTTCCAATTGTGCTTAGTCACGTGACATGATTCGTGTGTCACTTGCTGCCTAATCGTGCACAGACCCAACGAACACATTTAAAAGTCGCTAGACGCCGCTAATAGCCACCAAAGTTATCCTCGCCAAGTACTGTAGCTAACTACTCCAGCCATCGCAGACATATTCTATTTCTCTCCTAAACTTACACGTCCAACATTACGTCATTGATTGAACACACATCTGCAATGTCTAAAAAACAACGCTGCGAGGATCTCTATGGTCTCGGAAAGAAACTCTGGATAGGCGACTATACCTGCCCCAAACTCGAAGACGTATTTCAGACAGCTCAGAAAGTTGCCAGCATTCTTCTTGTAGACTTCTCTGGACTCGATAGACTCTATCGTACTATGGAGAATGCGAAAACCGCGGCCGATTGTGAACTCGCTATGTTTAACCTATGGTTTCAACTTGGACACATCTTTCTTCGTGCGACTAAGGCCATCGCGGAAACCTCGGGAAGAGGTGACATACCTGCCAAATATAACGACCTAGAGGACGACATCTCACAACCATTCCCTTTTATGCGATATGCCATGATGTGTTTCAGCGGAGGCCGGGCTTGGAAGGAATTCACGATTCAGCCATCCTCTAGAGAGTGGCGTCGTTGCTCAAATGGCAAAGACGAGGAACATGGAAACGAATGTATAAGACTAGCGGAAAAAGCGTACGATCACGCTGTCAAAGCTCCCCAAATCGGTATTTCCATCGAGGAATTAACAGATCGAGCTAGACCCCCGCAAGGATAAGACAACGAAGAAGGCGAAGACAGAGACGAAGAAGGAGATAAAATATGGCATTTACGAAGACCCACAAGGGAATTTGTGGATTGATGGGGACTGGCAAAAGGCGTATGGTGACTATAGAAGAAACCAGCGAAACGAGCGTGTTCATGCAGCCCAGGAAGACTTTCCTAGGGCCAGCATTCATGGTCGCCCTCATGTTATGAATTGGAAATTAATCGGTTAATGTGTAGTTAGCTGTTTGATTGATTGATTGATTGTATCCTACTCGGTTTCAGCCGTGATCTCCACAGCTATGCCCGGATGACAGATATTGCAGACAGCCGACGCGATGCTAACATGAGTCTGCACCGCCCCACTTCACTCTCGAAAGATCCATCTGTCCCCATAGGTTTGCCGTTGTCTAGCTTCTATCTAGTTACGACTATGTACATTTCGTCTCTAGAAGTGACGTCTTTTGCCTATGTTTGTGTTCCGTGAACTGTGTTTCCATGTGTATACCGTACTCGAAGCCTCGTGTGTGCAGCATTGTTCAAGGCTCGTAGAGGCATGGAGGTCTCATGCTTTGCGTCCGTAATACTTTTAGTCTCCCCTGCGCCAGCTAGGGGCGCAACAGCTGCTCTACATGTGCCAAACCGACGTGGGGGACGCGCGATGGCCTGCAGAGACCGTTGCAGCCATTGGCGGGTGTATTTCCAGTCCTTCGTGATGATAATTCCAAAAAGTGATTTCTCGCTGTCTGTCGTGTTTTTGCTCGTGATTATCACTGTGATGCTCATCTAGTAAGCTTCACGCGTCAAGTGACTAGCACGTGACTATCTATTGTGAGCTTACCTCCTTCCAGCTAGCTCAGCAGTCAAGACTATGTCAGCACTGCTGATTGGTGTATCAAATACAGAGGTACCAGACCATGTGGCGATCACGCACGAATCAGTCAATACACCAGCCCCTACAGCTGGCGAGCAGGCCTAGACGATTCTATTGAGTACCTAAAAGTCTACGGAAGCGACAGATATGTTGCGACAGATAGGACTGATGGTGGCAGCCTTATAACTCGTGTGGCGCATTATTGAGATGAAGCAGGTGTCTTCGCATATCTGGAGGGAAGATGTCTGCACAATTGTAATTTTTGTATTGGTGGGCATGCATCGACTCAGAATTAACCCTAGTATATACCTGGGTATGCCAATATAGATTTCATGATGGTTGCAGGCTAGGATGTTGTTGCAAAGTCAAAGTACCTGTTGTTCTGTCCGTTACGGCGGTTGTTCCGTTACAAAGGGATGTACGTTAGTTACAGCACACTTATCAGAAGGCCCACAACACAAAGTCACAAAGCATGGGACACATTTGGACTGTAAAGCAGATCTAGTAGTTGAACCGATACTAATCCAAGCTGTTGCAAACGAATCGCCCGCGTGCGGTCAACCGTGTCTATTTCGCCTAGTCAAGCAGTTCTTCTAACAGCGAGCAAGTCAACGGCGACTCTCTGCAGCAGGCTCAGCCAGGACACGCAAATTCCTGTGGTGTGTTCGCAGGGAGGCAGTTGCTCTTCATGATACATCCTAGACTAGCCAAGAGCACAACATACAACGGCTACGACAGCTAAGCCAAGTGTCAGGGCGAAGCAAGGCGCTTTGTAAGACATAGCACCATCGACTGCAGCGTCTGAAGCGGGCGTCTGGGTTGGCAGCAGCCCACCAACATCTTTCAGCAGATCTGTGGGGACGGCAGTGGCTACGTGACTATAAGCAGAGTGGATGTTGTCGATTACGGAGCTGGCCTTCAACTCTACAGACTCGATAAGAGATTCCAACTCAGACGGCATTTCTAGCTCCTTTAGCGTATTCTCCGCACGAGGGTTGAGCTGTGCACAGTGTGGTCAACAAACCGACGGTTTGACCGACCGATTCAATCGGTTTGATTAGTAATCAAACCGACCGACGGCTGGTTCGTTATCAAACCGACCGACCGATAAGAGCGGTCGGTTTGACTGCGTTTGGGTCGGTTTGACATAGCGGATTTGCTATGGCTATTACCGGTACGAGGGGCTTCTCGGGCCATTTCCTAGTATAGGTAAACAAACGAACTTTCTAGAAACACCCTCCAAATTTAATTTGCTCGTCCATGCTGTAGTTGTATATCGCATCGTCCATCTCCGTATGCCCCATTTCTATAAACTTCTTTATTTAGCCAAATATTGTCGCTTCGATATGACCTCTAGCAGAGACACTAGCCCTGCCATATCTTCTCTTCCATCTGGCTCACAGGTTGCTCGCGTCGATGACGCTTCCGAGACGTCCCTGACACCCTCTGAGTCTGTATCGATCGACAAGGAAGTTCGATGCGAGTTTGATATTGACTGGACGAATATCTGGCACGGCTCGATGCGGCTTGAAGGCGCAAAGTTAAGGCCTCGCCACAGGCGAGTGGTTAACACCAAGGCCAAAGAATCATGGATATTCCGACATGGCGCTAGCCTGGAACACGAAGGAGCGCGGTATTGGCTCTGTAAGCTTTGCCACCTGAAGAAGAGTTACTCAACGGCTCTATATTCGGCAGCTGGCACTTCTCACGCAGCGAAGCACTTGATCCGTGAGCACCGCATCTCTCCATCCGGTGAGCTTCCAAATCTGCCTGCCAATCCCTTTTACTTGCGGCGTCGTCAGTAACATGCAGGGCGCCTCTATCGCGTCAGTCTAGTGCTGGATTAGGGCTTCCTTCGCGTTTCAATGAATCCATGTGGAAAGCCCGGTTCGTCGACTGGATTATTCTGGAAGACGTCACTCTTCGTCAGGCATCTAGCAAGCGTCTTCAGTGGCTAATACGGAACGGCGGCGAGCTCGCTAGTCAGTTACTGCCCGAGTCTCACGCGTCTGTATCAACTTGGATTCATGATGCGTTCCAGAGGCGCGGGAATATCGTCTTCGACCTGATCAAAAACGCGAAAAGTTTGGTGCACTTAAGCTTTGATTTATGGACTGCTTCCAATGGGTTTAACTATGTTGGCATTGTGAGCCACTTCGTCGACGGCAAGGGCTTGAAACGTGACGTCCTTATCGGTCTGCCACGCGTGATCGGTCCGCATTCTGGCGAGAATATCGCGACCTATATTAAAAAGGTTATTGATTGCTACGAGCTGAGTTCGAAGTTAGGCTACTTCGTCCTTGACAACGCCAGCACCAACGATACATGCCTAGAGGCTCTTGCGCTATGGTTTCCTATAGACGTCAACAAACGACGCTTGCGTTGTATCGGCCATATCATCAATCTCATTGTACGAGCAGTTATCTTCGGTGAAAACGTGAGCAAATTCGAGGACGAACTTCGAGGTGCCAGCGACGAAACCTGCTTCGAAATCTGGGCCCGAAAAGGGGCTATCGGCAGACTCCACAATCTTGCCACCTATATCCGTCGGTCAGATCAACGGCGACAGGTCCTTCGAGACCTTCAAGACGAGCTTGCGAGCGACGATGTGATATTCACTATTGACCTTGTTATTGACGGCAAAACGCGCTGGAACTCAGTTTACCTTATGGTAAAACGTGGTGAGTTAATACCTTAGGCTTGCAGTCCTTCTAACTCCGAAGCTGACAGTTTGTTAGCACTCGAGCTTCGCGACGCTTTAGAACTCTATCAAATTCGCTGGCAAAAGCCAAAAAACGACCCAAGGCACCGAGACCTGACGAAAGACTTCCTCGATGCTGAAGGGTGGGCCGAGTTGCAACGCTTCCGCGACTTTCTGGAACCGTTTTATATCCTCACAAAGACTATGGAAGGAAATGCAAACAGAGATGGCAAAGGAGGTGGCCATGGCGCTGTTTGGGAGACTCTCAAGACGATGGACTATATGTTCATCGCATTTAACAATGCTGCAGCTTCATGCCGCGACGAACCGGAGTCTCACTTCAAACGCGGAATTGAGTGTGGCTGGGTGAAGCTTGAGGAATATTATAAGCTGACAGACATGACGCCGGTGTATCGCGCCGCCCTGGCTCTCCACCCCACCTACGGTTACGATTATTTTGAGGAACACTGGAACGGGACGATGAGAAAGCCTTCTTGGTTCAAGGGCATGAAGACGGTTGTATCAAGCCTGTATGACGAATATCGGCGCCAGGCCGAGGTGGAAGCTCAAGCTCAGGCTGGCTTAGCGCGTGACGAAGACAGCGAGGATGGACATTCTGTAATTAACGATTACAGCTCTTTCGGAAAGAGGAAAGGCAGTTCACTAATTCGCCAGCGAAAAAGGTCTAAAGTCGCCAGCGAACTCACCGCTTTTCAGGAGAGGGAACTTTATCCAGAAGACAACGATTGTCCTGACCCTTTAACGTGGTGGCATAATCATAGACACGAATACCCGGTCCTCTATAAGATGGCGTTGGACCTGTTTTCAATACCTGGCATGAGCTCTGAGTGTGAGAGGGTTTTTAGTCAGACGAAGAAGTTTGTTACAGACGAGCGTAACAGGCTATCGCCCGAGACCATTGAAGCGGCCCAGCTTCAGAAACACTGGCTCAGGAACGGCTTGGTATCGTAGTAGACTTGATGTACGGATGCTAACGTAATACAAACTTGGGACGCTCTAAATAGATAGTTACCTTTTTAGGCAGCCCGCTAACTTCTTTGAGTTAAGCTGTCAAACCTGATCAAACTCAAACCGACGGGCGACGTTCTATCAAACCGACTCAAACCGACCGACGAAGCCTACCTATTGAATCAAACCGACCGACCAAAGCCTCCGGTTTGAGTCGGTCGGTTTATTGACCACACTGGCTGTGCATTGGAGAGCGTAATCAGTAGAGGGCAGAAGACGAGTGTAGACTTCATGGCGACGCAAGACGTCAGAAGGGCACTTTTGGATACGTAGAGAGATTCCTTGGTCCAGATTACTGTGACTCGGGGCTGAATCGCTTGTGCGTGGACAGTATCTAGCGCAGTGAGGGGAGACACATCGCCTCTATAAGATCTTTGTGATCTGAACCTAGTGGATAGAGTAAGCAGTTTGTGTATGATCGTAAGCGCTAAAGCGTTGATGACCTTTGACTATGCTGTGAATACTACCAGACAAATCACTATGATGATGCCCACCAAAGAGAGGAGTTTATCACCGCTGCTTTCCGTTAGCAATGTGCTTACTGTCATGTAGACAGAAATGTGAACAGTTGCATGCGTGCGCTTCAGTCCTCGGTTTGTACAGCCATTAGCGATTGCGGCTTCACCCCTACACCTAGGTGTGCAACGGTTTTGATCAGCCCCACCTTCCGTACATGGCGTAGCGCTAGATGTCCGCTACAAAACAGGCGATGTGATTGGTGAATTGTTGATCTAATGATGACCGTTTTTTTGGAATATTGCCTGCAGGGGTGAAACCGCAATCGCTAACGACTGTAGCATCCTTTTTTTCACCGAGCGAATGTCCAAGCTGAGCAAACAGCTCCAGAGTGCATGCTAGATCCACGTATCCATAGATCGAAATCTACAATACTGCGGCTTTCCGTAAACAGTGCCCGCATGGAGAGATTGATGACGAAGAGATTTATCACGAAGAGATTGATGACGGAGAGAGTTATGGCGAAGAAATCGATGTGGAAGTGACTTATCACGAAGCGATTGATGGCGAAGAGATAGATGACGGAGAGAGTTATGGCGAAGAAATTGATGTCGGAGAGACTTACGACGAAGAAATCGATGTCGAAGAGACTTATCACGAAGCGATTGATGGCGAAGAGATTGATGACGGAGAGAGTTATGGCGAAGAAATCGATGGCGGAGAGACTTATCACCAAGAAATTGATGTCGGAGAGACTTATCACGAAGCGATTGATGGCGAAGAGACTTATCACGAAGCGATTGATGGCGAAGAAATTGATGTCGGAGAGACTTATGGCGAAGAAATTGATGGCGAAGAGATTGATGACGGAGAGAGTTATGGCGAAGAAATTGATGACGGAGAGAGTTATGGCGAAGAAATCGATGTCGAAGAGACTTATCACGAAGCGATTGATGGCGAAGAGATTGATGTCGAAGAGATTGACGTCGAAGAGATTGATGTCGTAGTAGCGACACGTAGGCATCTTTGCCTCTAGCAAAAAATTCCTTGTTTGCCGGGAAAGCTTATGCTCAACTCCCGCTTCTAACGGAGGCCTAAAAAGCAGGACCGACAGGCTCGCTGCAATTGCTGGCGGGGAAGGCATTGGGAGCGCCATAGTCGTTCAACGCTGACGCGCCCATCACTGGACTGCTGTTCGTCGTGGCCGACGTCGACGTGGCGTAAGCAGGGCGTTCGGCTGAGATGTGTAGATCGCCCACCTTTGCGCGCGGCAAACGCCCATGGAAGATGCGACATCCTTGGACGAGGGTGATATACGTGACCGTTCATGCATGCGGGCGTGTGCAAGGGGATCCACCCTGTAAGCGTAAGACATGTCGCCTCGCCTCACATCCGTCTGAACGCAAGAGAGAAACTACACGCAGCCTAACGTGCATCGCCCGTAAGCGAGAAACGCCCCTCAGCGAGATGAGCCAACTCGACAGGCACCTCATCCCCTCCCCATACACTTCTAGAGATCTGAAATTGCAGTGCATCTACATGTTAGACACTTTTGTCTCTACTGCCACATTGCAGCAGAGAAAATAGGATGGTTGGCGTCAAGCTGTAACGCCACGCGGAGGCCAATTTGACACGGAGATAAGCTCGGAGTACATGTTCTCCAAGCTCAGGCATCTTGAAGATCAGGGACGATGTGCACCTCAGTGGCGTTAATCGCCGTAGCAGTTGCAGATTGCGGAAAATGGGGTTGGCAGTGATCGAGCAGGGGTGAGAACCAAAGTGGCTCCTAGCGCAGCGCGCGACATGACTGTCGTTGCGACCACAACCACCGTAATTTGATTATCACAAAATGCAGGACGATAGAGAAATGCCTGAAGAGCAATAGCACATACCCTACAAGCCCACAAGCGAATGTGGTGAGGATTGGTTTGGACTGAAGTTAGATTCATCTCGCCGAGGGGCATTTCTCGCTTACGGGCGATGCACGTTACATAAAATGGCGGCCACCACTGTACGTCCATTTTTCCGAGACGCGCGGAGATAATCCGGACATAGTCTGGAAGCGGCTTAGCCCTGGGCCCGCCACCTAACGAGAATTATGACCAGTAGCCTGTGCGGCCCCCAACAAAGTGTCGGGCACTCGGCATCATGTTTACAGCAAGCGACATTGTCGCTGATCCTACGTGCAACGACCCGTGTGCTGACCATCCCGAGTCGCACGGTGATTGCGTTTACGGGTGAAAGTCTCGCGTTCTCTCGAATCCCCACGCGCATGAGCAGTAGTGTACAGCCCACTCCCATGGAAGCGTAGAAGCAGGTTCAGGCAAGCTCCTCTCCAGTCCCACCCTCAGAAGGCTGACGGGACGCTGCCTTCGTAGCCTATTCTGAAGTTGTTCTTTAGAGATGCGACGTAATGCGAATGCATCGACAAGCATATATGCGGATCAACACGGCACGATACGGTCAAGGATGACACTGTAGTCATGAAAGGCTGCTCATTGTCTTTGCTGCATGGACCGATAAACTCTCTTTCGCTCGGGCCAAACGCCCCCTGCTCACTCGATTGTAAGCTGCTTACCCGCGAGCGCCTGCCCGACTGCGGCGTGGTCGCTGTGGCGTAGCCCTGCGCTGTGCCGCATGATCCTCCAAAATTCTTACGGTCATCCTCGGATCGTAACATCCTGGCCCACACCGTGTTGCCCCCAGCCCCCGTGACGAGCTTTGGGCATTACGATGACAGCTAGGTCGCGCACCCTAGAGCACTAGTTCGCTTCTATCGTAGACACTGATGCATCCAGGATTCTATCTGCACGACAAAGGCGGTGGGCTAAGCTTGATTGCCGGATGCCGGCCAACAGTGCCGGTGCAAGTGTCGGCGTTTTGTGTCCGGCGCTAACTGAGAGTGGCTACATGCGAGGCTCTACCGAGTCAGAACCTAAATGGAACCTCATACGCCAAGATTGCTCAGGCAGGTCATCGCCTGCGCGTGCTCTTGCCAAGGGTGCATCCTGGAAATAACGATTATCTAAACTTTGTACCAGTACCGGCCAAATAGCTTGCAATCATCTGCAGGACATGTCTTTGTGCGACGATGAACATGAATCAAGCAGGTGGAGGTGCTGTTATAGGAACGCCCTAATGCGCTTAACACGCTAGCAGAGATGGAAACTTGAATCCTCGCAATCTTCTCACTAGACCATTGCCCTCGCGACCCGGTCTAGACTACTATAGCTCTGGATCGAATCCATCCATCTTGTTCCTGACAAAGGCCGAAATGCGCCTCCATGGGGTTCCCGGTACGCCTGTGCAATCTCCAGTGTGCGTTGGGGTGGGACATGACGCACGGAACGCCTCTATTGCAGCCCGTAGCCAACACCGACTATGTCTTTCCCCCGTTGAGCTATCTCGCGCGATGGATGCGGAGGTCAGACTCATCGTTCTTGTCGGTTGTTGGGATCCAGTGCCGTGTTTCCCACGGCTTGTTGAACAGCTGACTGACAAAGAGATCGACCTCGTCCTGCCGGGATGGGGCTTGCTTGATCATCCTGTACCAGACGTATCTTCGCAGCAGGTGTTCGTGGTACCCTTCTCTTCTCCAGGCCTCAGTCAGTGCACCGAGGCTAAGTGTTTGTCCTGCATTCGCCACGCCTTCTCTAGTCTGCTCTGGCTGGCGAAGATCGACTCGATTCGCGACCCACAGTCTTGTGTCCTCTTCGAAGGTATCACGTCTTCTCGGGCTAGGATACTCGCGCAGCATCTCAAGGATAGCCTTTATGGGGTCGGTGATGCTGCGAGGAAGTCGCCTAATGCAGGGCAGCTCCATCTGCTTTGGTGCATACACCCATAACACCTCCTCTCTTCTGTCGTCTTCATCGCGACGAATTTGCTGTCGAAGATCGGTGCAGCAATTCTCCAGTGCGAGACAAAAGTGAATCGAGAATCCATCTGCGTATCCCAAGTACAGGTCGAGGCTCGCCAGTGAAACGCCATCTGTGTATCTCGAGTACAGGTCGCGCCTCAGTGAAACGCTCAGATGTCTCTGCAGCTCGCGCATGGGCCACGCTCTCGGGGAAGCTTTCTCGATCGCCAAAGAGCACAGCTCTTCGTACGGCAGGATGGCTAAGCCATAGTGGACCACGTCGTCAAGTCGGCCTTGCAAGCTACGCTCCCAGTCTACGTCAGCAAACTGCCAGGCATCGTTCACGCCGACCATGGCTTCTGGGTCGATGGATTCATGAGCCTCGGACTCGGCAGCACTGGGCTGAGGGAGGAAAGGCGGGATCGTGTGCTGTTCTGTCATCTCAGGTTGTGTCTAGACACGGTAAACCGCACCCAAAAGTAGACGTGCAATGTCTTCCTATTCGAAGGACATGTAGCAACCAGTCGACGAGTTTATCTAATTTCGCCAACGACTTCCTACATCAGCAGGCGCTCACTTGAGGCTACCTTCGTGTGCACTTGCACTGGCCTTCCGCCACACAGTACACTTGGCAGTATCGTGCTCATCACGTTGGAGGTACGGCACACATACAGTGAGAGTGATACATAAGTTGACTTGGCACCCAATGTACATACATCGCCTTGCTTATGCTCCGCTGAAGACGCAGAGGAAAAGCCCAGTGTTCGACAGGATTGGATGTTTCTGGTGAACAGATATCAGCTTGCTGACGCTGGCTCGTCTCACGCAGCTGGCACGCACAGGTGTCAGCATGGTCGCACTGCGGAGCTGATCTCATGCTTGTAGAATTATCATATGAGCTGGCTATTGTAATTCTCAACAGGTTTTTGGTTTCTCTACGCGTACACATGCCTCCAAACGTGCAGAAGTCACCCCTCATGCCGATCGCGAGAGTTTCGTACAAACTCGCGAGCAAGGTTGGGTATTCACTAATCCTCTCGACTAGACGCCCAGATATCAACACTCGGCATCCCCTTTTGTTCTATTCTGCCCTGTCGACAATCATTCTCGGAAACACTGAGATAACCCGACTTGAGAGGTACCGTGTTCGATGGGTTACACCTTTCCAAGCATGTCCGTCGACAACACAGGAGGCCCCAATTTGCTGTCTTCACTTCCCAATGCGTAGGCCTCCATCTCTTGGGAAAGTTCTCTTCAGCTCCTCCCACAGAACGGGTTTCTTTCTGTCCATGTACCTGTAGTCGGGTTTGGCCATGAAAATAGTCGAGGGCTGTGTGCTTATGGCGAATTCAATATTCGTGACGCTTTTTTCCGATAGACATGCTTCATGCTTGACCGGAACCCACGGGAAGGTGGGGCTGCATCATAGCCGTCAATAAAATCTTTTCTAACTAATTCCCTTGCGCAATGAACTGTCGATCCATTCTTTCGTGATTGAATCTATCTCACTCGTATTGCCTGCGACTGCAACACAAGACGAGACCGAATGGGAAGTGTAAGGCTAGTTGATCAAAAAGCATCGCCCACCTCGGTTCTCAATCCCGCATTGCGTACACGCTGAAACCGCTTATGCAGACTAGCACAATGTTTTGCGCTGGCATGGTCAAGGAGAGGAATGGTCGTCTGCATCTCTGCAGCCACATACCCCGGTTGACACGCTTTCACGACCCACAAGACAATTCAGCTTCCTGACCGTACGGTACTCTCGGTCGCTCCTAGCTTTGTAAGCAGCTTGCGGTAGTCCACAGGTATGGGCTACGATGTGTGCAAGATGCAGCGTCGGCCGTCGTAAGTTTGGCATATGGCACGACATAAGCGGAAGACCAGATTGGATTGTCTCACTGACCAAAGAACTTCCACGTTCTTCGTATCTCAATCCTCGACAGCGCATGGACACCAGCTCATGTTGTGTTCCAATTTCTCTCGGGAATCAGTACATTTACATGAGGTGTGAAGTCCCGCTCCACCTGTCAGTACACATACCCTTCCTCCATACCGAACACGGACCTCACCCGAGGTAAGTCAGAATGGAGAATTTCCATGGTTTTGAACAGAACCCATCTACAGGAACCTGACTGTCGCAGTATACCGCAATTTCGACATGTCTGCAGATGTTGGCGACACATCTGAGCGTGCGTCGACAGATGGAGGCATCAAGCTTTGCCCTTTCTGGAATGAGTTTTTACTCTTTTCTCCTGACCCAGCAGCGCTTTTCTTAGACGAGTTCAGACGCTTGGCCAACCATATGAAATGGAGCAAAAAGAAGAAGCGCGAGTATCTTGTGAAGGCATTGAACGCTGAGATCGACTTTCATGGAGACGAGTCAATCGGATTAGTTCGCTGGCAACGCTTGTGCCAGGAGCTTGGAATTGGCAGCGAGCCAGAGTCCAGCGAGCTAAAGTCCATCACAAAATGCAAAAAGGTAAGCCCCGGAACCTTGCTTAATCACCCTGACATGGCAGACGCCATGTAGGGTGGTGTTATCGTAGTTAAGGCTCTGACCGATTTCAGGCCCTCAAGCCCCGCTTCGTGAACCTCTATAGCCTTGTGGATCACCGCCGAAATCCGGACGTCGCGGTGAGGTGCTTCGACTCGTTCAAGGAGCTCGTCCACGACATAGGCAAAACGGGAAGTTTTCCACGGGAGTGTGCAAAGAAGGAAGGTTACATGAAGGTTTTACTCAAAAGGATGTAGCAAGACGTACAAATATTGCTCGTGCTGCGCGATTGTTTGTAGCGAAACATGCAACTTCTCTAGCTCTACTTCCTGATGTACAGTGATGCTCGCCTCCTGCCAAAAGCTCAGAACAGAGTCTCGACTCGTCTTTCTTCCATGACAAAGACGGCGGTCGAACAATGGCGCAGCACAGCAGACCCATGGCATACAGAATTGTTCCTGGTTCGATAGTGCCAATGGGTGTATGTAGGTGCTGCTTTTGCCTGATGGACTTGCCGACGTTCAACAAAGGTTGTGGAATTTACTCGTGAAGCTCAGCTCTTGATTGTTGTCAACGCGTTATATCTAATGTCGCCGAAGAAGCAGTGACCTTCGCATTGCTGACATGTCCATGTAGCGCCAGAGGTCGATTCAACCAAGCACAGAGTATACAAACGTAGCTGTTGCGTTACATCTTGAGCATCACGGCGTAACGAGAAGCTAAAAGCTACAGTATATAAGGCTAGATAGTCTAAGCGATTCATGCGAACAAGCTGTATTCTCTCTATCAGTTGCGTCCCTTATAGACAAATCTCGAAACCGTATGACTGGGCCGTGTAGACTTCCACAACTCTCTGCACCCAGCTCCATCTACGGCGCCTGTCTACAGCGATGGCGATGATCGTGCGCTTGCTTGTCTAACCCAGTGCGGCGCGTCTATCTGACACCCCCGAACAGGCCCCTCGGGCGTCTCCGAGTTAAGAGAGCTGGGGGTTGTAGAGGAACCAAGTGAATCCACTTCAATCCTAGGTATGATCGTTCCAATCGGCGTCGCGTAGTCCGGTAACTCATCCGATGGTTCGTATGTCTCATCTGAGGCAGGTGTTTCTGGCTCTTCGCTCGTCACACCGACGATGTTTGGTGGAGAAGCGCATTCGGGATGCGCTGCATTAAGCCAGTTTCGAAACTCTGCAGCGGCTGGTGATAACACGGGCGAGTGATTTACCCGGCCCGAGGCAGAGCTACCGGAACTCTGGTCGTGCTGGCGCGGACATGGATGGTCTTCGTCTGGAGCGCGTTCTGCGTGCGAGTACTCTGTCGCTTGGGCTGCTGTGCTACCCACCGTCGTGTAGGTCTTCTGCAACTCGGCGAACAGTTGCGCTACGGGAACTCTAAGATTTCTGTGATTTCTTAGCTTATATCAATAGGGATTGTATAGGCATTACTGATTATTCGATGGAGCATCCTCTAGCCACGTGGCTAGCAAGGGCATCATCATGTCACGTTCGAGTACTGTACTGTCCTTGGTTGTGATTTTGTTGGACTCCGGTGCCGAAGATGATGGATCCGTCATGTTCGAAGACGAGTCGCTAGACGCTCAGCCACCTGCGTATGGCTTCGCCTCTCCAAGGACAGCCGTAGCGCTTCTTAATAGTGGCTGTCATGCTCAGTCTTGGACATCCTGCTTTGCGATGCTGAGAGGCTGTACGAGGCTTACTGATATCACTAGATTACATCACCCGTTCTCGTCGACGCTTCGTTGACCATCGACGTTATGTCATTACGCCCTCTCCTCTGCGGCTGACCGCAGTTCACCAGCAGTAGAACACGCGCGTCGATTACTGCTGACGTTTCCTAGGTTCTGCATTCAATGGACCTTCTTGCAGCACCACGTACTGCACGACCCGGAATAACCCCTCATCGTGCTCTCTAGTCATCATGATGATTCTGTGAGATACAACCACTCCAGCGAAATACAGGGGCTTTTGCAAAGTGCTCATGGCGATAGGGCAGCCTTTTGTCCGTAAGCCTGGCCAGGTCGTTGTCTATCGGCTGAAGCATGGCCTGAATCGGACTCATCGAAGGCCGCCCTGCCTGCAATGTCTTGCATAAGCCTCGAGGAACTTTCTCCATGCGTCCGCAGGTAAGTGAAATAGCTGGATGAGTGAGATCAATCCACGGTGTACGCTAGAAGGCTGCTGGCCGTTTCGCTGTGGTGAGTCGTCGATCGCTTCGAAATAATACACTTCCATCTTACTTTCCTCACCGCTAGCATCTCTGAGAACGTGGAAAGATGCACTTGGCAATTTCCTCTGCTCTCGCATAGATATAGGCACGATGACTAGCGCTGTCGTGTCCTGTGAATATCATCATTTTATACGTAGCTGTTCATGCATCACCTGCTATTTCATAAAGGGACATGACGTGATTTTCACATGTTGAGAGGGCAAACGGCTCAATCAGTGCTGAAACTGTTTCAAAGTTACCGCAAGCAAGCAGGCTTGTGTTACGACGTCTATCAATATGGATGAGTATTGTTGATGCTCGGGCAGGGCAACTTAACGCGGTCAAATAACTCAGTATGATGATCTCAATGCAGGTGCATTTCCCAAAAACCTTGTATTCGCTGTATGCAGCTGTGTTGATCGATACAACTCTCTCTCATTGAAGCCGCTGCCGTGGATCTCATGCTTGATCTGACGACGAGCCCTTGGGCGAAACCTTTGACAATATTTGTTACATGCCCGGTCTCCATCTGCATAGAGCCTCATCTCCATGTCGCGGTCGCTGTTATTGTAAAAATGATCTATATGTCCGGTAGCTGGAAGGTCACTGAACATTAGCAGCCGGCATCTAGAGAAACATTATTGGTAACCAATGGGCCCATTCTTTCACGCACATCCTCGTACTGATATCGTCTTTATGATTGTCATCGGTGTCCGGACAACCGACATCATTACCAGCACAGTGGTGGCCAGCCTGGCAAGACTCTATTCTTGCTCTGTAGACCCTGATACCGTGTACTCGCCACGACATCGCCGCTTCCTCATCCAGCTCGTCGTTACTGACTTCCTTGATAATTGTTGCTAAAGGAGAATCAATGTCCAGTGCCAATAAGAACGTGCTGCCCGAGTGTACAAATAACCGGTTTGACGGCTTCGCTGCGAGGCCCGTAACTGGTGTCGTTTCTTTGCCCTGCCAGTCTGCTCCAGAAGAGCATGCATCTGACGGAGTAGATATGGGCCACCCCAACCTTCGCACGAGGTATCCTGCGTCTGCCTTGATGATGGGATCGCCATCGTTCAGGAAAGACAGGAATAGGGAGTTGGAAGAACGTTCGTCTTCCCGCGTATGGTGCTGCAACGGATGGACGGATATCGGGGGGCATCCGAATAAAATGCAGTGTACATTTGGAAAACCTTTGGCGACGGTGGCCAGCTGAGAAGTCGCTTTGGATAGGACATGTGCATATAAGAGGCTCGCCGTGGCGGCTCCCGCGGAGTGGCCTGTGAATAAGAGCGTTGAACTGTCCTCGAACTTGGCCAGAGACGTTGCTAGCGGGTCGATGAGCGATTTTGAAGCATCCAAAAATCCTGCGTGGCATAGGTTCTGTTGTCCCTAAATACTATCAGCGTACAGACAGCTTACGGCAAGATTCGGCCACAGACGAGTACATCTTTTGGACTACAAGCACGGTTGTTAAGGTTCACCATCCAGTCTCTGAAGCCCTTGGTACCAGAGAGAGCTACCACAACGACCTCGCCATGGGAAAGCACCGGTCGCTGGCTGACAAGAGCTCTCCTGGGCGCAGTGCGTCGCCGTGCGCTGGACACGACTGTAGCGTTGTACGCTTCTTCTGAGCAGATCACTGCCAGGCGAACCAGAGGCCACGTGGAGGTTGGTCTAGCTGTCGCATCAGAGACTTGGACTCCATATTTCCCGCATGAGTTCAACCTACCTATCCATCGCGACGGCAGCGCACATTAGTCCTGCAGATCTGGGCAAGGAGCAATCGTGACCGCCTGTACAAGAAGCCTAAACGCGCACTCTGCTGGGAGTGATGACAGTCCGCAGGCATTGGGCTTTTTGGTGCCTACTTCTGGGATCCGGCCATAGACGCAAAAGCCAAGCCCCTAGCAATACCATTATAATGCTTGTGTCCATCCATCGCACAAGCTAGTGCGAGTATGTTTCGAATAGGCGTTGTTCTGTCTTCCAACTGACCGTGTGGACTAGTTTCCTTTTGCATTAGGCAAAGCTTGTCGGTACAGTCAGTAAGCAGACAGTCTTTGGGTGGGAAAGCCTGACCACCAAACGTACTTGAATTTGCCCCAACTACGGAGGCATCGCCATTGCCCTTGTCAAGGGACGAGGTATCAGTCTCATCTCGTAAGAGGCACGGCTCGGAATTGCATACCTTCTCCAGGTTTCGTCGTCATCATTTAGGCAGTCTGGGTAATAGGCTTACCGCCTCGTTTTGCTGTGTAGATGGCCGCGTCAGACTTTTCGTCGCAGAGAAGTCTCAACCCACGGAGTGATTTCCTGTCAGGAACTGAAGAGAAACTCACTGAATTGCAGATGTACCAATGCGACCGTCATTAGGATCATTCATACACCACGTGCCAAGCACGTCATATCCTAAAGCATTTGTACGTTTTTATGAACCACAGGCAATGCTACATTTTCCTTCTGGTCTGAGAGGTAGATGCTTCACGCTACTCACCACACAAACGATCCACACACCTACACAGAGCGTGACAAGTACCTGGGGGTCAAGCCCTTGTCATCATAGTGTACCAAAGGCCTCGAGTTACAGAAAACATGCCGAAAAGTAAGATTACCTACAGTCGGTTTTGGACTCCACTAACGCGTGGGAGGTGTACAGAGACGCAGAGGGCGCCTGCCTGAAGGTCGCCCGAAAGAAGTCTTGAAGAGGGCGCATATGAGTACCTGGGAACAAGATCAGCCCAGGATAGACGAGATATACGAAGATGTTAGCGGATGGAAGGGTAGAGTGACCTGGCGCGACTTGGAAGTCGTCACGTACCCAGTGAAGACGCTGTACATGAGGTGTCCACAGAAAGTAGGTCATGCAACTTCAAGCAAGGGGCTGCTGACCATTCGCAAACAGGTACTCTCTTATTACGAACGAGAGCTTCGCAGACTGAGAGCCGAACAGACAAGTGCAGGACAGATATCGCAGCAGTGGGTGCGTGAGTCGGCATTGGAGATCAGCACGCCACAGACTCCAGCTATTGCTTCACAGCCACCGAAACAGTGGACCGCACCGGAAGCGCTGATGTACGATCATAACCATGTCAGGCAACTCCATGCTACGACATCAGGACATGAACAGTCTGTAGGAGATGTGAGTGCAAAGTAGTGCATCTCGCGCTTGTTTCGCACGAGGCTTTCGAGAGGGCATATCGACGGATACATGCGGATCTGAAAACTCGAATAGGAAATATGCAGAACCTACATCGTCCTACGTGTGTCTTTGTTGCTCTGTAGCGTACCTGTTGAACGCTTTTCTGACGGTCAATATGTCTGGGACAAGAAACCTCTGTCTGTGCCTTCTGGATGACACGAGATATTGCAGGAGCGCGTCTCGTCGTGTCCCTGAGACATAGACAAAGGGGCTTACTGTGAACTTTGCCCTCATGTATCACTTTCAAATGTCTCCGTCTCGTTGGGTTCGCCACTCGGTCGAGTTCTGTAGCATCAGCTTACGAGAAGCATCACCCAGAAGCATCACTGCGGTAGCTAGTCTGCATGAAATCTCCCACGTGGCACTACGCAAAAGACGAAGAGGGTTGATATTGAGGGTCGAGCGTCCACTTCCAGCTTCGCCCGACTACCGCTCTCATTTGCAACCCACACGCCCTTCTGGCCATCACCATCTGTTTTGCTCTGTGTGAGAGCAAGCTGTGTTCTCAAACGTACCTGTGCCCATCCATGGGACAGAGCTCCTCCGGGACTGTGCAGGCCGCGTTTCCCTCTATGCGCTCCACATCATCTATGGGTCTCTTGTCTTTGATCTTGTACACCTGCTCGCTCACAGATCACACGCGTCGCGTATCCGTGTCCTGCGATGTCTAGCGTGTGCCCATGCCTTCCACCACCAGTATTTCGACCGGAGCCTACGGTTCAACGACGCCTCTCGCATGCAGAATCTTCTGTGGCATCTTCCACTCGAGTGGCTGTGACAGTTGGCTGGAAGCACCCTGAGCTGGCTATTCGTGGAGCTGGCCTTTCGGCGTACTGCGGTTCCATTACACCACGATCTAACACTCGTGTGGGTTCTGCAGATATCCTGGGTAGGCCTCGTGGCACGCCATTCAGGACGCGATTCAAACCATATTCCGTACCGCCAAGTACCGAAAGATCCTTATCTTTTCTTCGTCGGCCCTCAGTAACACGCCATGCACTACGTCTACCCTCACAGCAACTTCGGATACCTCGTCCAACTGGTGGACTGGCTTTTTGGCACTGTGGGCACGCTTCGAGGGCGGCGCGTGGCCATGACCGGCTCTCAGGGTGCTCTTGGCCAGGCTCTCGTGAGACAGCTATCCCTTCAGTCGGTGAGGAGCATCCGGCCTCTGCGTTATGATATCGAGTGGAGTCGCGGCGACTACCCCAGATTGAAGTCCAGCTTGATCGATACCGACATCTTGATTCTCGCATGTGGTTTCAAAAACAACAGCGGTGCTAACGAGTCCAACTGTGTGTCCGCTCGCACCATGAAAGAGCTGCTCGACCGCTGTCAGCTCAATGCTGGGCTGCAGTCGCTCCCGGAAGTATGGTACGTGGGTAGCGAAGCGGAGATACATGGCAGCTGGTCACAAGCCAGCCAGAGCTACACCGAGTCGAAGCGATCGTTTGTACCCTTCGCCCGGTCCTACTACGACCGTGAGACATTCCTCTATCGGCACATAGTTCCCTCGGCGTTCGCATCGTCTATGGGACCGGGGCTTGTGTACACACGATGGTGTTCCGGCGTCGCCTTGTGGTGGATACGCCGAGGCGCGCGCTATGTGCTGGTGACATATACCGGGTTGGCTTATGTGAATTTCTTTCGTTTTTTCTTCTGGGTCAAGCCTCGTGGTGCATTCTGAGCATCGAGCGCTGGAAGTGGAAACGTGTGTTGCTCGTCGGCCTTATTGGGTTGCGCCGTATGCCTACCGCGAGTACACAAGCGATAGCGCTCATACCTATTTCCGGGGGGAACGCTCTGTTGCGTTCTAGATTTGTATGAAGGCATACAAACAGTGTTTTGTCGGTGTTGTGGAGCTGCAATGTGCTTGCACCAGTCATCCAGAGCACGATGAGAGACACGACATCCAACTCCCTGGAACGTCTGGGGGTCTAGGGCCAACTTAGAGGTCAGAAAACAAGAGGCTTTACGAAGCGTTTGCAAGGCCGAGATGAGCCAGATTAGAGGCGGAGACTAGCTACCGTCAAGCGCTAGCAGATATTGGACGGGCTGGAGATGGCTCAGGTGTCGTGGGCAGAGCGAAGTTCATTGACGGACTAGAAAGCCAAATAAAGGAATATTCCAGGGCGATTGTAGATCTACAAGTACTCTGAAGCATCGCAAGTCAACGCATCAAATCCTGCAGCAGCATCTCCCTGTGCTGAACACACATAGGAGGATCTCCAAAAGACAAGCAGTTCTCATACATGTCGGTGGTATGCTCCTGAGTTTCTCACTTTCCTCTATTTGAATTGACTAGTTCTCCACGGGTTTTGAAAGCGGCGCAGAGAGACAGCGCAGGACGTTAGCAGACCTTCGATCATGACTACAGTGATGTAGCACGAAACAAAAGAGGTTGCACAGGTAGGCCGATTTGCATTGAATAGGTGCGGCACCTTGATCTAGTTTGATGGGAGAAGTAAACACTTCTCCACCACTGTCTCAGTACAGCGAAACGATGGTGCTCACAACAGTTTGATCTATAAAACTACGTGCGAGTCCGCCACATCTCCGAGTTCACTTCACGGGTTGCGTAAACAGCTTTTAATTCCGTAAGCCGATGACTCCAATAAGCTGCTAAGCGTAATTCAGACGCACGGACAAAACAGGCTTAGCCGTGCGCGACGATCGTCTCTATGCATACTTCAACATTCACCCTTTTCCACGCTTTGCGAGAAGGAGCTAGCAAGTGCAATATGGTGAGAAGTGACAAATGTCTCTCGCGCATAATGAGACGCCTTTCGAAGACTATCACAACAGCGAATGCCGTCAGCTGGCCGAAGCGAAAACCCAGATAAGCATCTGAAAAACGATCCGAGCCTCGGATTCTTGCTTCTATCTCCCACGTGCGGATTGGGTTTGACGGAGAGCGTCGATGACCACAAGCTGCACCTCAGCGGGCGATGATTTATCCTCGATACAAAGTCCTAGGTTCAGGCCTGCTCCCGACACGCATTCTGCGACCTGCTATTGATTCCACAAAGCTCTGCCCATGTCACTAGACACTAGAGCTGTAAGGCTACCAGCGGAGCTGCAGCTGGCGGTGGCAAGGGGCATGGGCCGGAACGCAACCATTGGAGAATGGTGTCAGTTCCAGCGGGAAAGCAGAGGTTGGAGCGTGAAGTTTGACACACTTTTTGCCGAGTGGCTGTCCTTGCAACCGTCGAAGAGCTGGTTCTGGCACTTTGCAGGGAACGAGGAAGAGGTCGCGTTCGTGGCGGAGCATGCAGACAGTGAGTGCACGACTTTCTATTACGACGGCAGTTCAGCTGACGAGGGCAGTGCTGCGTAGGCATGAAATATCGGTGCGTTGCACGGTGCAGTACAACGAGGGTGCTGTAGAATGGTCGCTGGGCAAAGGCACGCGGGACGAGTGCTACTGCTGGCTGGCGTGCAGAGTTTCCAACGACAGAGTACCAAACTGGTTACAATCGCAACCCGCGCATATGGAAGTTGTGGTACATGGCGAATGGACGCAATGGGTTGGAGGGTTCTCCGAGGGTGTGCAATGCTGGCTTGGAGAACTGACAGCCGAGACAGTGCGAACGGTAGCAGCGGGTCGAGCCGCAGCGGAAGCGCCTTTGCTGCGGAGTAGCCTACGCTTGTGCCTAGGATGGAAGGCGTGGATGGTCGCCGTGGGTGAGCGCATCTGGAACATCCAGAACCGATGCGGGCGTCGGAGTTGTGTCTGGTGCAAAACGAATCGCGGGCTCCTTTCACAGCGTGCATGCGTGGGGGTAAGAGCCTGCGACCCCGCTAGCAATCTAGCATCAGTGATTTCGACGTAAGCAGAGGCTGTCAGTAGGGACTGCATAGAATGCCGGCATGTAGCAAGTTATTTATCCTAAGCAACCCTTACATCTTCGCTCTCGACCCAAGCTCCCATCCCCGCAGCCACGTCGCTAACAAATCTATGTTGATTGGACTCATCGAGGGCAATACCTCCAGTGCTCGAGTGTTCTCAAATGCCATGTTCGTCTCTCTGCCGCTCCCCTGTGTACTCAGAAAGCCATGTATTCTCAAGTCGCCCTGCTCCATTCTCTCCAGCCAGTCTGGCAGATCAACAGCCTGAGTCGGAATTCCAAACCTAGTTCGCAACGCTTCATGCAACACACTCCAGGCGGCGGGATGGGTATGTACCATGTTGAAGACTTGCAAACCGTCTGGCGTGGGTGGGCGCTTGATACAGTTGGCTATGCCTTGCGCAAGCGCGTCCACGGGGATCCAATCCAAAGGTTGAACGTGCTTTGGGAACACACCAAGCTTTGCCGACGATTGAATGACGGAATAGAGCCAACCCTGCCGCGGCCATGTGCAATGCTTTGAGTTCGTCGACCCGCCAATCTGGCCCGCGCGCACTATGTTGACGCGAAGTTTTGCGATCTCATGCGCTTTGGCGAGCAGCTGCTCTGCAACACACTTAGACTGACCGTACCCGTTTGGCATTGCGCTGTCGCAGTCCCATATCACTTCTTCCGGAATCATGGGCCGGTCGGGATGCCGCAGCGGCCAGTTGCCTACAGCACAGATTGAAGAAACAAAGGTGATCCGAGGATGGCCGGCAGCAGAGGCCAGAAGGTCCACGACTTTGTGCAGCGCTTCCAACAAGGACTCAAACGAGCTAAGAGGCTTGCCCCAGTGAGGATCCCAAGAGTTGAAAACTAGCTCCCCCACTTGAGGTATTGTGTCTACGATGGGATCGTGGTGCGGATCTCTTACGCGTCTCGCGATGTCGGTGACGAGGAATTTCAAACGTTGGCGCGCGGAGGACGTGTCGCCCATGATGTCCTGCAACGCTGACATAGTGCGCTGCTCCCCATCATCGCTGCGGTTGAAGCAGATGATCTTGCACTCGGGATGCTCTCGTAGTAGAGATGCAACAATATACGGTCCAAGAAAGCCAGTCGAGCCCACGATAGCGAGCGTTTTCGGGGAAGAGGAAGGTGGCATTGCCTTCCCGGGTTTCTGTGGCAAAGAAGCTGTATAGCGGGCCAACATGCGCTGCATTCCTGAGACGTCGGTAGTTCTGGGGCGGTCTTTTGCGTGCACGAGCCGTGAGGGCTTGCTCGGAGTCATGGTCGTGTAGGATGTTGATTCCCGGTGCGTTTGCAATTCTTGTCTGGTCCGTGTGTTTATTATCATCTCCACTGTATGTGTCGTGAAGAGTTTGTCGTCAGCGTAGTATGTTGACCGTTCAGTCGACGTGGAATGGGGAGTCCTGGAGTTCCCTGGTGCCTGATCTAGAACGGATGTACTGTACGTGCAAGCCACTGTATATGACTGAACGCGTTGAACTGCCCACATAAGTGGGGGATCAGGGGTTTCCGAGCAGGTTTCGAATGATTATGATGCTCTCGGAGCATATCATCACGCGCAATGTACCTCAAGGTTACTTGGGCCAAGGTGTGGTGAGCGTCTGTCCGAGCACCACATCTTATTCTTCGCATCAAGTGCAATCTAATGACCAACGGAGAAGGCGCCTTGAAACAAGTGATTTTCACACGCTGGAGTCCTCGTCGGAACAGCGGTCTCGGATAGTCATTTCCACTGCGTAAGCATCTACACACCCCTACCCTGGCAGCTCTCGTCAGCACTTTTGGATGATCGACATCCTCGGAGCACTTATATCAATTCCATTCAGTTAGTCAAGGCTGGTCACAACAGTTTGTTCACCTGTGCGAGCTTCCATATCATGCCCGTAGATGGTCACTTCGATCCGCTCGGCGTAACGGAGACCAATACCACGCTCTATACCCTGGTCGCTTTACGCCCGCTGCGTTCATCTTCTTGGATACACAGAATATCGCTTGGTACCCACTCTACGCATCGAAAGCATACTTCACGAGATGAGGCCGCGAATTCACTTGCCGAAGGCCAGACCGATCGCTACAAGCAAACACACCTTCTATCCAGGGAAACTTCGACTGTAAAAGTTAAGAGTTGGCGATTCCCACTTGGATTGCGGTGTAAGCATGTGAAAGGCAATAACGGAGCCGGTGAAGGGGTAAAGGGGTGTCGGCATGGTTGTTATTTACTGGAGAAAGGTGGAAAGGTGAACACTACAATATGCAAGAGCGAGAACTGCGAGGGCCATGCATGGAGTGGCGATATCGTAGCTGACGACAACGGCATTGTAAGGGTGCGATGGGTTGACCATAAGTGCAAGGTATAACAGTAATGAATTCGATAGAGAAGCTACACTACGCTTGCGCTGAGTCTATGTATCACGTAGTGCTAGGTTCGAGAAACTTCTAAGGGTCCGTGGAGCGCCGATGAAGCCCCGACAACGCTCCGAGGGTTGCAGCCTATCCCAACCAGCTATAACGAAGGCCACAGGCCAAGTACTACTAACCAAGGCTTCAGCCTCTTACAGGCATTAAGTGTTTCGGGAAGCATAGGAAAAGGATGGTCTTGTTAGTTCAAGGGAAACGCAGAGACGATGAAAGCGTGGACACGGCCGATGATGGCTGAATCACGACGGAAGTGTTGAACGTGTATAGAATACTTTATAATAAGGGGTTGAGGTGCCAGTAGTTCTTTGGACGAAGATAGGTCAGGGCGTCTGGGCAACGCGATTCAACTTTCCATTGGACTGATTGTTGCAAGGTTAGGTGCGACTATTGTGGAGAGAGCAGTTAAGAG